GCAGTATTCATTCCTCCGTACTTCTTCCATGCCATAGTCGAACCTCCTTTCTTGTCCACATTCACCTAAGCTGGAGTCGGATTATTTACTGCTGGTATGCATGGTACAACCGTATCTAGCCCTTCCATGGATAAATCGGGATACACCCCAGTGCTCGCAGTCTTGCTTACGAAGAGTGCGGTTGATGTAGAACGAGGAGGTTGGCAAGCATACGGTGATTGGGTTGACCTCCCACGAAGTAGTGGAGACGGAAGCCGGTGGGCACACCTGATAGCACCTGAGCTCATCCAACCGGCAATGGGCCTCGAGAATGTAATTACATGGTAAGTGTACATGTATGATCATGACATGTCGATTGCAGTCCTGCCACTTAGCTGTGAAGCCCAAGGGAGGCTGCACATCCTCGATCCCTGAAGCCCTCACGATCTTGCAAGTCTCATTGGCCACGGCCTGTGCAGCATCGATTCGCTCCTGCTTCTTCGCATCGTTGTCCTTCTGTCTGACCTGCAGGTCCTCCTTGGACACCGACTTGCCGTGGGGCTTTTTCTGGGATTTTGCCTTCGCCTTTGGCTCCGCCGGCTGCTTGCATGCAGCTTTAGCCTTGGGCTTGATGTCCTGGTATAGACGTATGATCAGGACGTCGACTAGATTACATGCATGCAATTGCAAGCACTAGCACTTTATGTCCTTCAACTCCTGCCTTCGAGTTGCTTTAAGCTTCCGCTGCTGGTCACGAACATCATTCACAGCAGTACCTTCTGTGACTTTCACATCCCCGAGCAGCTCCAGCAGCTCGTTTGAATACTGATTCAGCGCATCCTCGGGGACGAGTGGCTGGAGATCGTTGTCCTCACCAGCAGCAGAAAGCACGGCATGCACAGTACAAGCGCTAGTTTAAACATGTACGTACATGTACGAACCCATATTAAACCCTAAACCCTATAACCCTATAAACCCTAATTACTTGCAACCCAGCCTTGAAGCCCAGCCGGTCTTCATCCGGCAGGTCACCTTGTGGGCTGCCGGCTTCACTGCCAGCCTCGCGAAGGTTTCCAGGGATCCCTTTATAAGTGCAAAGTTAATTCATAAGAGCCTCGGATTCCAGCTCCTTTAAAGCCTCCTGGCTCAGAACATCCGAGGGGTGAGGGACCTCAGTTGATATCGCATCGACTTGTAAAATTCTAGCAGAGATCTAGATGTATCTAGACATGACCCTTGGAATTCCTTCAAGGGGCATCTTGCTCACCCAAGAATTCATCAGATTCATCAATCTCTTTCAGCAGCGCAGCAACAGCATCGTTGAGCTCACCTTCCACGGCATTCTCCATGTCCTTGCAGGGCAGGGTCAACTCAGGAGCGAGGGGTATGCAGACTCTAGTGCGCATATAGGTATATATATGGTCCTCTGCAAGGTTGCGGCATGGGTTAGGCTTGTCTTCCTCCAGGGCTAGTGGCTCCCCATCTTCGGCAGGTTCTGGCTCCTCCTCGGCCGGCCCGTCGGCTGGGACTGCTCGGCCGGCATTGTCAGTATCATCCTCCTGGGATGAAAAAAGAAGTGCGCGCAGACCGGACATGAGGCATAATTACACGACGTATGTATCATTACAAGCCTCCTCGGCATCATCGTCCAACAAGGGGTCCATATCCCCCTCCGAGCCGGGAGCAATCCAGCCCATCATGATGGCAAACAGCTGCTTAAGGATCGCAGTCTTTTTGTTCCTCGATCAGTGATCAATATATATAATTAATTCTAACCCTGAATATAGGCTAATATTATTGGCCCCATGGTTTATCATGGATGGATGCGGCCAAAGTTCTTGGCCTTCAAAGTCCTGCGAGTCACTCGTGCCAAAGATGCAACCAGCAGTCGAAGACGCCCTCCCTCATTTTGGGCCCAGGTCTGATCAGGAATCATAGCTTGCACGATATACATGTACATGTCTACATGGTTCCGACCTTGACCACAGTCTTCCCACCCCGCTTGCGAACTTCAGGATGCAACCTATAGCTGCATGATATGTGGATGAAGGCCACCTCAGATCGACACGAGAATTATCTGGTGTGGACGACATGAACTGGCATGCAGTTGCATATTGATGCTCATGATGCAGCACATAGAGACTCTGTGGTCACTCAGCGAGGGGATCGGGTTCTGGTCGTCGATAACCCGGAGGATGTACATCTGCAGCAGCTTGTAGTTGAGGCTGAACTCCTGGTCGATAGCCTGCCAACTGTTTGGGAGGAGGGGGGTCAAAACACCAAGCCAAATCGTGAGCCGATCAAATCGATAGAAACCCTGTGTCACCTTGCCGCCAGTGACAGTTCCATGGTCAAGGAAGCTGTGGTCCTAGGATGTGGAATCCGACTCGAAATCGAATTCGAATGAGTCCAACATGCCATGCATGGTACATGTATATTGCAGCAAAGCTTCATCGTCCTGGCGGATCACCTCGGTCTTCTGCTCTTGCTCCATATATTCCTGGAGTGCTTTGGCGATGCGCTCAGCTCCCGCCTGGTCAAGATGTACATGCATGTATACATATATGTACGATCCCGGATCCGGATATAAGTGCATGCATCATAGGACACACTAGTGCAGCCTAGGCTCCGTGAGGTAGTATTTCATCGGCTGCTCGAAACGAGACATGGCACAAGTCACAAACTCAGGCCAGGCTACCACCGTATGCACATCACAGACGTCGCCATCATGCATGACATCCCTCGGGGAGCATATGAGGATCGAGCTCGAATGCAACACATGCCTGATCTACATGCAAGGCGATGCAGGCTTTCGAGTGCACTCGAGCAGAAGAAAACTTGCACGCGTGTGGTCTGTCGAATGCACGCACTGCAATCCAACAGCAGTGCAAGCAACAGCAGTGCAAGCCTGCTGATCATGACTTGCAAAAATGGTGCACCTGATGGGAGGGCTGACCTTCTCGAAGCTTCTGGCGCTTCGCATGCAAAATCGATTGCTTCAGCATGGCGGCAGGAAAAGCATGCAATGCTAATTTCGAGATCTAGTGCATCTAGATCTAGAATCTTGATGCTAGATCATACTGAATGCCCACCAGGCTTGGCGATATCATGATCGACCCATGCTCATGATGCCTTGTGACCTCACATTCGGCCATGACATGAACACATATAT